GAGAATACATAATGAAGTAGGAAGAGATGATGTTATGTTTTACGATGTTTCATATTGTTCTGCTATTCTTCAATTGTGAGAAGTAGTGAGTCATTTGGATTAAACATGTCAGAGTGTGTAATGACTGCTGATAACAGTAGAAAAAGAAAACCAACATCTGACCTTGTGGCTATGAATGAAGGCATAGAGAATTGTGGAAGAGCTGTTACATACCCCACACTCAGTGTACTTACTGCCCGGCTCTCAGAGGCGTTATCAAATCAAGTGTACTGTGAAGCCCCTGCCCTGCCATGAAGTATGTATGTGATGCAGTATCTCTATATCCAGGCTCTAACTGTTTCAATAGGAAGACAGAAAAAATGATACCCTTTTGTACTTAAGTTTGTCCTAGAGCCTTTCAGGAATAAAGTACTATACTTTATAATACTTAAAGTACTATAAAGAGGGGATCAGTCTCAAAACTTCAAAAACTTTGAAACCTTTCTAATGGAATGAATGAGTAACCTATCATTTAGAAAGAAATGATAGATCAATCAATAGATAGAGACCTAGAATAAATGATGGTGTTTCTCAGCGTTTACCATCAATGCTCACTAGACAGAGAGTAGGATTGGAAGTGCATACCTCAGTGACTAAATATAAAATCGCAGACTCATAATTCTGTGTCCTCCCTGATCTGCTATGTAATTGTCCAAAAAACATACAGTCTGTAAATTTTGACCACTTTCTCACTGGGATTAACTGGTAATACATATAAAATGACAAAGCTATATTTATAAAAAATACTTCATTAATTTGAACATTTACTTTATCTGTGCACTTTGTACTTTTATACAAGAACAAAATTCTATGGAAACAATTAACTTCCTTGAAAAATAAAATTTAATTTAAAAACCAAAAAGGGATAGGGGCACCTGGTTGGCTCAGTCACTTAAGCATCTGACTCTTGATGATGGCTCAGGTCATGATCTTACAGTGGTTAAGACCAAGCTCACATTGGGCTCTGTGCTGAGTGTGGGGCCTGCTTGGGATTCTCTCTCTCCCTCTGCCCGTCCCCTCACTTGAGTGCCTTCTCTCTGTCTCTTCCCCCTGCCACCTGCCTCAGAAAAGAAAAAATAAATTTTAAAAAGTAAGACCAGGGATATTAGATTTAAATTAGCAACAGACAGAACTCTAAAGCTACACATTGAGCTAGATATGAGGCTAATTGTTTTACTCTTCTTAAAAATAATTTGGGTCACAAACAAGCTTGATTCAGGATTCTGTATGGAGCCAATCTCAGGGTTTTCTACTCCATCTCTGAAATTTATCCAGAAATTCACTGGCATTCCCATTTAACTCTGCCACAGTTTTAACATTCCTTATCAGAGTTTCCCTCACCAAACATCTAAGGAAACAAGGTCTAGGAGAATGCACCAAAGAAAAGGGATTTGGGACGGGAAAGAAAGTCAGGGAGGGCAGGGTAGATGTGGGCTTTTTGTGTCTTTTGAATAATTTTCCTGTAATTATATTGTATTGTGGGTACCCTCTCTCTTGTGTTTGATATATTATTCTGGATGTTTTATTTTCAGGCAGGGCTTGTTTTAAGACAAGTATTTCAAGGAATCTCTCTGTACTCTATTCCCTTCTCCAAGTCCCATTAGGGAACTGGTTTCCAGATGCAAGGAGTTTTGAAGTGGAAGCTGGGGATGTTTTTTCCCCCATAAAGGGTGTGAGGTGAGAGAAAATAGATGTTATAATTCAGCTTCTGTTATATTACTTTTGTAGATATTGATAAAAAATGCTTTGCAGCAAACACAACTTCCTTTTCTCTCTATGCTATACGGTGGTGGGAAGGATGTGAGAATGAATTGGAAGGTGCTCTAAAAGAGTTTCTGAATAAATGTTACAATGTGAATGAAGCTCCAAATAATTAACTGAATTTTAAAAACAGTTACAAAATATACATGCTGTGTGATTCTATTGATATAAAATTATAGGCGATGCCATATAAAATACAGTATCAGAAAGCAGATCTGTGGTTTCCTAGGGCCAGAGAAGAGTATTAAGGAAAGGGGGGGAGGGATTACAAAGGGGCAGGTTATTTTTGAGGGATGGTAAGTATGTTAATTATAGTGATTGTTTTGCCAATTTCACAGGCTTATTCATGTATCAAAACTAATCAAATTGTACATTTTAAATATATCTGGTTTATTGTATGTCAATTTTATTTGAGTTTAGATAAAATAAAAATATTAGATTGGAAGGGATTGAAAGTAATTTAAAGGATAGTAGAAATAATTACAACAAATACTTTGTATGCCTGTCTTTTGAAATGTATAAAACAATCCAAACCAGAAAAATGATGCTTTACTGATATTCAAACACTATTTCAAGACCTTCCAGGTCATTTCCCAACACCAGCAAGGTCTTGCTTCTCATATTAACATGAGAATACAGGTATTTAAAACTAAAATCATACAGTAAATAATGTTATGAATACAATGGTTGTAACTCTGCTTTTAAAATAGTTTTTATATTTATCTTTAACATTTAATGGCCTGTTTAACTAGTTTAAATTTCTTACATATAATTATAATTGTGGATCTCTTATTATTCTACAAATTTGTCTCTACTCTGTCTTTATCCTCCAAAATACACTCATATAGAATACATATCTTTAAAAAAATCTTTTTTACATTTATTTATTTTTGAGAGACAGAGTACGAGTTGAGGAGAGGCTGAGAGAGAAGGAGACACAGAATCTGAAGGAAGCTCCAGGCTCTGAGCTCAGGAACCAGAACATCATGACCTGAGCTGAAGTCAGACGCTTAACCGACTGAGCCACCCAGGCACCCCTAGAATACATGTCTTTTTATTTACCTCTCTGTTGTAGAACTTTTCTGTCAGACTTTCCCTAGTCAGATCTGAAAAGTGTTTATAACTGGATTATGAGTCAAATTTTGGTAACTTGAAAACTAAAAGTAGCTGAGTAGAAAATCGAACTTGGCTCAGTGTCATTTCAGGCTATTAGTTTAAAGTTCTCTTCTATTGTTGTTCATTTGCTTTTTTCCATATGGTTTTTAAAGTAATGTTTTGGAGCACAGTAGAAAAATCTTTTGTCATTTAAATGCATCAGAAATAAATGTTTAACTCAAATCATCCAAATACCTTAGCTTTTCACAGAAAAAGAATGTGTGTGCATGTGTCTGTGTGGATATAATTAAAATTTCTGCACTCTTGAATTTTAAATTTATGAGTAATTTATGGCTTGGTTGCCATCAAGTGTAAAGGGGCATTCAAATATTCTAAAAGAAATATGAGACGTATTGACTTAGAAATTTACGTCCCATTAAATCAAATGTTTTATTGCTTAGAGCAATTTGGTCCCCTGACCAGCAAAGTTAGCATTACCTGGAAATTTGTTCGAAATGCAAATTCTTGAGTTCCACCCTAGACTACAAAACCTCTGTGCTTTAATTAGCGACCCAATGATTTTGATTCGCAAACTTAGAGTCATTTGCTTAGAGGAACACCTTTGCTGGCAAAATATTTTTTTTTCTTTTGGGAAAAAAATAGACTTGAAAATGGTAGCAATCTGTAGCAAAAATTAAGACTCTGGACTCAATGGAGAACTAATACCCACCTGCATGTGTGCACACACCCACACAGATCTTCACAGTTACTGAATACAAAGTAAGAATCTTCTTAACAAGGGCAGGGACAATTACTTTCTCATTCAGGATTTGAACTTAATCATTGTTTGCCTTTGACATTTTTATAGATTAAACTTGAATGAGAATCTCGAAGCAGCAATTCCAAGAGTTCAGCCTAAAAGAATTCATCTCATTGGGAAGATATCTACACAACACAAGGTTTGTCTCAGGTGAAATACACAAGAAAAGAAAATTTCTACTGCTTAAATTTCGACAGTTCTTTTTCAACAATGCATGGTAAAAATGCAGAACACGGAGGTGAAACAATTGGAACTCATATCAGAATAGATCAGCATGTTGCAGAGACTGAGAAAATACTACAAGCTCCCAGCTGGGAAAACTTGTAATTGCAACCAGCCAGAACATTGATATAGAGATAGCAAAATTACTAACAAGGGAAAAAGAAAATTTAGGAGACAAATAGAGGAAGCGTTTTCCTATGTATGACAAGAACCCTAGTAAATATGACAAAGTGCTCGTCAAGAGCAGAATGTTGAACTGGCGTGAAGAAAATATAAAATTGATTACTACAATGACAAGCCACATAAAATGCCATAATAACAGCACAGGAACTCATTTCAAATAAAAGTGAAATAAAAACACTCTCCCAAATTAAGGGGGAAAATGTGAACAAAACTAAACTTCTTGCTTTGGGCAATTCTGTAACCATTGTCAAAAGCAATCAAGACTAATGGTAACATTATCATAACAGAAGAATGCTTATGGCTCTAGGGATTTCTTCAATACATACGTCTATAGCTCCAGCTCTGGTAACGTTGGGAAAGCAGCAATCTAGGAGCTAATACCCCATTACAGTAGAATTTGAACAAAGCTTGTCATGAATTCATTTCTAAGCCAAGAAGGACTTCTGCCTTGATTCAGGCATACCAAAACACAGGGAGACAGAAATAAACTTTGGCTAACATATTCAGGACATTATATATATTGATGTCAACTCAAAAATTTATCAATGTAGTTGGTTATTACCCATGAAGTTTTGTTCTGAAGTCTGAGAATTAAAGGGACCAGGAGAATTCTAGATCTCATTTGCAATGGTTATCCCAGAAAAATTGTTCAGCTGCAAAAAATCCCAGCAAACACTCTAAGTGATGCTAAACAAATAAATAAAAGTCTGGTAAATATGATGACTCATGTGATACTTAGAACTGCTTACTCTAACCAGTCAGACTCTATTGGACAACATACCCATATTAGAAGAAAACCATGGTACAGTTTCCAAGCAAAGAATATATAAAGCACTTTCAAAGTTATAACAGTAGATGCACAGAATAATACTCACCCATAATACATGAGACAGTTCTAGTTGCTAAAGGTGCTGCTGGGTGTCAAAATTCTCTATGGTTCAAGAACCAACAAATTGAGCAGTAGCCAAGACATGAACAAGTACAACTGTGTGGGATCCTGGCAGCTCTGGAGAGAGAAGGCCTCTGAGAATTAAACTATGTTCTCCACTCCCTTACCTTTTACACAATTATTTATGCTGCCCTCCACCCATATTTCTCTCTCACATTTGGTGCCTCCTTGTTTTTGTTTTGTTTTGGTTTGGTTTCGTTTTGTTTTGTTTTGTTTTCCAATTTTGTACTGTTTTGGTGAGGCTATTTCTTCCACTTTCCATAAGCATAAGAAAACAATCCAACACAATGGTTAGGTTTGTTGATATTTAAAGATACAAAATTCTAAATACAGGCTTATGTACAGGCAGTTAGGTTTTGTGAGGTCGCAGAAAACCATTCTGTTATTGTTCGCAATGTATTATTTTCTACCAGTTAATTTTTTTAAACCATGCCCCTATGTTTACAGCTGAAATGAAATATTTTAAGGTCACAGTAGCATTCAATATTCATTCTCAACTTTATGAATCCATGTGATCTAAAAAAAAAAAAATCCCCATTGTAAATACTACTCAAAAATAATTTTTTGACAAAAAAAAGTAAGATAAAAACAAAAGAAGTACAAAGTAAAAAAAAAATCCTTATCAAAATAATTTTGTTAAAACAAAATACATATATTTGTAATAAGGTGTTCAGTATGATTAAACCTATTTTTATTCCTTAATGTAACTTTTGACTATCCATCTTTGCCTCTGAAATGAAGATACTTAGATAGTTTACAAGATAATTTTATGTCACAGATCTTTTTCCCCCAGTGTTCAATGTCTTTTTGTTTTTCTGGATTATAATTTACTCCTTCCATATGTCATCATTTTCCTAAAAACAGAGGAAGGAATACATATGAAAAACCAAGGGTCTCTGTTCGGTTTTCTTCTGTCCCACAATTTCACATATTTGGAAGAGGTCAGTTCTTTCCCTGTTGATATTCATATGGATATAGTACCAATGTTTTGGAATACTTTAGTTTCTGTCATACATCTTGATACCCTACTAAATGACATTCCTCCCTAATCCATCCACTTTAACTAATTTGTGTATTGTCAGCTCCGGGTTTCTCCAAAAAAACCCCTATAGATTTGCCATGATAGCAGAGCTTTGGAGTCAGGCAGGAGATCTTCTTCCAGTTATTTCAAACATAACCAATGTTCACTTCAAAAAATTCAAACTACGTAGGTCTCAGTTACTCATTCACACACTAGAGTCAATAATAAAAATTTGTGAGAATTAGAGGTGTTTCACTCCAGACAGAGAAAAGAGAAATCATCGTTTAAAAATATCTGGGGAATGTTAAAAAACTGATAGTGTATAAAGTACAATGATATTTAAATATATTAGGAAGAAAGACGGAGAAATTGGTAAAGTGGTATACATTTATAAAAAAACTAAAAAAATAAAACTTTTTAAAAAAAGTATTAAGACACATGATATTATCTGACCACAATGAATTACATTAGATGTTAATATAAAGTGATAAAACAAACTAAGGGAAACTTTTGATAACAACTCATTTAGCTGCTTTGGTCAAGGGAATAAAATCAAATGGTAGCTAAAAATTATTTAGGAAGTGATGAAAATAAGAATATCAAATATAAAATTAATAAAAGAGGAAAAATGTATAACTGCCAAGAAATTTATAACTAAGGTACGTTCATTGAATAAGTTATGGTAAACAGATAAAGGAATCTATCAGAGAAAAAGCTATAAAAATAGTAGTAGTAAAATAAATCCAAAATGAGCAAGATGTAGGAAACCATGAGGATGAATTTAGGAAGTGCTACATTAAATGATTAAACATTAACACTTAAAGACAGTTTTTCCAAATGACTACAGAGAAAGATACTTAATGGAATGACTCACCAAAGACTCACCAAGTTTCCCAAAGGGTATAGAGTTTTAAACAGTAAAGTTAAGGAGAAACAATATTCTGATCCATCAGCTTCTGATTCTTGGAGAAAATATAGCCTGATCCAAGAAAATTCCTAAGGTCCCTCTCTGTAAAACCAGAATAGCAATTAGTATCTGATATATCACCAGGAGAATATCATCAAGTACACTAATGGACTATAGAGTTTATCCCACAAAATATACAGTTTATGTATTAAAAATATATTATTTAAAATGTTGACATACTCAAACAAGAGGAAAGACAGAAAATCACAAAAGTAAGAAAGATAAAAACAGAAATCCAAAAATACAGAGGAAAACATTTTTGTTCAAACTGTGTTTAAAAATTACTGAAAGGTTGGGGCACCTGTGTGGCCCAGTCAGTTAAGTAACTGGCTCTTGGTTTTGGCTCAGGTCATGATCTCACGGTTCATGAGTTTGAGTCTGGAGTTGGGACCACAGCTGACAAGCACAGAGCCTGCTTAAGTTTCTATCCCTGGCCCCTCCTATCCACCACCTCAAAAAGAAATTACAGAAGGCATATGTAATAAAATCATAAATTTAAACTGTGAGATATATAGAATAAAAATCAATGCAAACATACCCCTTAAATGACCCTCTGTCCACATCCCTACTCCAAATCTAAGAAATGTATTCCAATGAAATAATTATGAGAATGTGCAAAAAAAATCAAAAAACATTAATGCTAAAAAAGATCCATAGTTCTATATATAGCCAAAACGATAAAATTTTACTATATGGTTTTATATACAAATACAGTCATATATATATAAAGCTATAGAACCATATATATCTGTAGGTATATGAATATAACTTCAGGAAGATAATCATATAAGGTAAGATACTCGATATCCCTGACCTCCTTGGAGGGAAGAAAACCTCCTTATCTTTCAAGGTGCCAAGAGATGTTCTTCTGCAGCTGACACCTTTTTTTCAGATCCTTTCAAGAAGCATAGGTAGTGTGTGGGAGCCCAAGGAGTAGTGGGAAATTGTTAATATTCACCAGAATACTTTGGAGTCTCTGGATATGTCTGTGGCAGCCCATTGCCCCTTAAAGCAAGGAGTATCAAAACCAACACATTCTTAACCTTATTTGAGGATAATGTAAAGGTAGGTCACATAGGGTAAATCTTCCTGGTGTTCTAGCCCCTAAGAACTTGGACATCAGACTAAAAGTATATTCCTGCATATGTTAAATGTCAAATATCTAGGAATTGGTAAACAATGATGAAGAATTCATACAGTAAAAATCTACACAGATTTAAATGATATATTACAAAGTAATCTATAAATCAATTTATAAAAAAGATGGTTATAAAATAGTTTTTGAAAATCAAGAGACATCATATCGTTTCCTCTAGGTCTTAAATAATACCTGCCTTGATCACTGTTATGTAAGGTAAACCTATCATCTCTAATCCCAGTTCCAATGAAATGCAGCTTTCAACCATGCTCAGAAATGATTAATGAGTTCCAGATTTGGTAATTTAGTCAGATTTTGAATTAGTGGTTTATTTCTCACGAAAGTATTTTAGTTTCATTTTATTTCCAAGGAGCATGATAAAAATTAAATGTTAATTTTTGTGATTTACTTTACACAATAATAATACTTCTATATCAGTGAAGGATGTGTATTTTGCCAAAAGGGAATTGCACTATTTGTTGCTTCACATACATACTTTCATTTAACTGATCAGGCAGATTTTCAAGGAAAAATTTCTGCAATTTTAACCAGTTTACACATATGACTTAGCCACAAATTAAGAGGTCCAATTTTCTAAAGAAAGTGTTCTTAAATATGAAAACTGGACTGGAACAATGCTTTTTTGATACAGTTTTCAGTAGATCATTAACCTAGCTAATTATGACAATCTTATATAAACACCTACTAAGTTTAAGGTACCGTGTTTAATATTAGGAACAAAGAATGAATGCAATGTGATCTTTATCATCAAAGAGCTTAGAGGCTAGTAAAATTGAGGAGAGGTACAAACCTATCTATATAATAAAAACAGAATGTGCTAAGTATTTTGAGAGCTTTACAAATTGCTGTTACAGCACAGACTGTGCCCTTTGCCAATTATTTCCAGCTGGGAGGATTAGGGATTGCTTTAAGGAAAAAGGAGTATGAATCATGAAAGTTGAGCATGCTTTGGGCAAGTGAAAAAAACGGAAAGGGACTCTAGTTTGAGCAGAAAGTTTAAAGTGGGATCAGAGGCAGAAATCATTTATATGCTATTAAAGAGCAGGTGATAGAAGACGTATTTCTGGGAGACAGGGTTGAAAATGTAAGTTGAGACAAGATTAAAAGGAAGCTCTCTTGCATTTAGTCTTGCAAAATTGCTTCAGAAAACACTTCGTATCTCATTCTTTTCTTTTATTACTTGAAGTGAGTTGCATTCACAGAAAACATTTCCAGGCATGGGTTTCATTGATATTGTTAGGTTTGCACAGTCCTGTTCTGTACTGCTAGACATATCCTGACTAAAAAATATTAAAATAGGATTCTCAAGTACAGACTGAAGATTTATGATTCATAACATAACATAGCAGCTAATTTTAAAATTACTTTCTTCAGACTAGTTCTGATAATTTGCCAGCTTTCTTCAGACTAGCTCTGATAAAAAAATTTTACTTGTGCAGAATTCTGATTTTGATGTCACCCAGTATTTTATTTACTATTCTGTTTCTGAAAACAAACTTGTGGAACTGAACTACTAATTTAGTCAACTCATCACTACTGTTACCTAAGGTGTTTCGTATGATACACAAGCTGCTTCTAAGCTTTCAGTCATGGAGACCAACGTTTCCAACCTAGTAACTCTTCAGTAATTCTGATGCAACGGAATTTTCCCTGTGAAGTACTGGAAATGTTTCAGGTCTTATTACCTCATCAATTGTTCTCCTAACTCCATAAAATAATGAAAAACAAAACGGTTTTTCATAGGCCTTCATTGTAATTGATTCTCCAGGGTATCTTTGCATTCGTCCATTGTTCCATTGCTTGTACCACACCATTTAAATGATATTGTGGCTATGATGATATTTCTCAGCAGGGATATTCTAAGTAACTGATTAATATGTAAATCAGTAAAAATGTAATTTTTGCTGTTAAATTAGCCAGTGCATGGGACCTCAAAGTAGCTCAAAGCTACTGTAACAAAAGAGAACAAAATAAAATGTTGAAGCTATTCTTTCTGACAGAATATCATCTAAGATGCTCACAAGCTAGGTAGCCAAAATGTATTCATAGAATTATATGGTATAACTTATGACTACATAAATCACTGTTAAATTCTTTATGTTGCTTTTAATTGTAGGATATACCAAAGTGCTTTAGAATTTAGGACATATCCTGAATTTTGTGTTACTTCTTCTTTAAAATGAGAGTTAAACAATATCTATAATAAATCTTATTTTATTTAATCTTTTTATTTGTAGAACCCTTTTTAGTCTTGCTAGACCTATAAAACATTATTATGGTCTATTTTCAAATTTCTTCTTAATGTCTTATTTATACTTTTAAAAGAAAAAAATAAAAGTTGAGACCAGATGGTTTTGTTATTGTCCTGACCCACAAAACAAAATCAAACATAACTACTGAGACAGAAAAAGGAAAAAGCACATAATATCAACCTTCCCAACCCATATGTTCTAGATATCCTAGCTTTGCCAGAGGTTTCTACAACATAGCATATGCTGAGAAAATGCTTTCAGAGGAGAAGCCAACATGATCCCCCCCTCCTGACGTCCCCAGTGGCTTCAGCACATGCACACAGGCCCTTTCGTGAATTCTTCACATATGCTTTCTGGTTTGCTCACTGAACAAGCACCAAATCACTGGAGATTTTACGCCCAGTGACTTCTCACCAGGCAGATTCTAATTTGGCAACGAGTTTAGGGTCCTCCTGGTGAGAAATCTGCTTCTGGCAGAAGCGCCCTCACTGATGTAGGGAGGTGTTTCCGCCCATGGCTCTGTTCTCTTTAGGCTAGGCATGAGATCACATCTGTTCCTAGGGCTCTAAACCCAAGGGACCTCTGAGTGAAGAATTACCACAGAGAACTCTGCATTTTCTGGTTAAATGCAACCTTTTCCTTGTGTCAGAATGAATGCTCCTCATTGCCTAATGACCCTGACATTTTTTTCTCCTAGCATGAAATTTTACCTTAGATGTATAAAATGATATTGTGTGTAGGAGGAAACAGTATAAATTAGACTGTGGCACTTCATGCCATGTAAAAAAGTATGTAGCTGACTTCTGGGGTAACATGGCTCCAAAATCAGCAAGATTTAGTATTTTGGAAATGAAGACAATATCAAGAAAAAAACTGAAGAATGAATAAAATAAGTTTGCCTTGTCTATGAAACTTTTTTCTCTGTATAATGATGTTAATCATAAAAGTATTATTTTTAATGTTTATTTATTTTTGAGAAATACAGACAGAACAGGAGCAGGTGAGGGCCCCAGATAGAAAGGGAGATACAGAATCTGACAACACAGAGCCCAATGCGGGGGTCAAATTCACAAACTGTGAGATCATGACCTGAGCCGAAGTCAGACAGTTAACCCACTGAGCCACCTGGGTGCCCCAATAATAAAAATATTCTTGAGTCAACTTTGAAACTTGGAATGTGTGATGTTATTTCTTAAGAGTGGTGTGAATTCCTCTGATACTCTCCCTACCAAAGAACCCTGTATTTTGACCTGTGTATGCTGAACACTCAGTAGAAATTTCTGGCTTCATTTGAACAAAAAGATTTGTAAAGTAACATCTTTGTTTTAAGTTAAGTCAGCCTATAATTTTTAGGAATGTTCCAAAAAGAAAAATTTAAAAGAAGAAACCCATTTCTTTTCAAACTGTTAGGATAAATAGTATCTTCAACAGTTGGTACCACATAGTGTTCCTAATCAAATCATTGCAAACATTTCCAATTCTCCATTTATTGTTGTACATGAGGCAAGTGAATAATCCTTCCATTTCATTCCATTAAAGATACTTTGAATTTCCACAATACCACGTATTGGGCGAAGCCTTTCCTTCAAGACCTCTTTATGAATTAGTAACCACTTGAAACATACCCTTCTCAAAGACGGAGACAATAGTTTATGTCATTTCTTTGTATGCTTCATTTAAATAGTTTTGTATGTGTGTGAAAGAAAGATAGAAATATTTCTGAGAAAAATGGCAGACAAAGACTCCGCTGTGTAGTATGTGCGTGCAGCCTGTGGCTATTTTACAAGGAAATCTACCAGCTCTCAATAATGTGAAAGTCTTCTTGAGAGGCGCCGTGGCACAGCAAGTCACTGAACCAGAGAAATTCAATTTGCCTACTGTAAAGTATGTTTTGTCTGTCTCAGAAAGCTCTAATTCAATCCAAAATTACTTTCTAGAAGCAGTCACTCTGGCCAAGGAAGGGTGCTCAGGGTCCGGAATAGGACAGAATACACTGGGCTAAAACTGTCAGAAAGCATTCAGTGTTGCTTCTCACTCTTGGGATGTGAACCACAGACCTACCTGGGGGTCAATGATCTCTCTCTGTTTCAGATCTATGTATATTTGTGATTGAATAACCTTTAGGTAACTTTTATCCTTGATCTAATTTTACTTTAAATGTGCCAAAGCAAAAATGGGAAACAGGGAGGATGGTTAGATTAATAATACGTGGATGGGTAAGGAAATATATTTCTGCTTGAATTCTATGAATCATATATTACTTACATGTAGCTTTGAACATGCCTAGAGAGTTTTGAAATAGCATTCTAATGCATAACTTTGTGGTTTATCCTTGGGCAAAGGAACTAATGGTTCATATAAATTCATTCAAAATGTAAATTTTCCCATAAATTTCATAGTTAAATTTATGTTACCAAAACTTGGGGGATTGCATCAAATATTACAAATCATTGTCTAGAAATCATGACACTAAATTGCCTATGATAATATTATTAATTTACTCGCCCTGTCGTGAGATATTCCTAATTCTTGAATCATTAAGTAAATATCTGTCACATTCCTGAAAAACTAAAGAAATATAATTTTTTCAGTTCCATATCAAAATTCATCAGTCATAAAGAATCTTAGATAATTTAGCTTTTCTGGAATCTCATAAGGCATTATAAAATGAGTTGAGTTTGAGGACATTAATACTTTTAAGATTTTAAAAAGAATGGTCCATTAAATAAGGGGTTAAGAACTGAAAGGATATGATAAAAACCTATTCACTATTCAAGGCTTTTTGCCAAGGAACAAAATAATCTGCCAAATAGAACTGTATAAGAATATAAAGATGGGGGTTGGCAAATATCTTTAGGACTCTGGTAAAAGTACTTTTTAATAAATAAAGGTAATTTCACTTTTTAATATGTATAGCCAATGTAAGAAACTCAAATAATTATTTAAGTGTTTACTAACAAAATGCAATAAGATAATAGTTCTTATGATGGTTCATAAACTTTGGTATACAAAAAAATCCCTGGACATCTTACTTTTTTTAAATGTAGATATATGGGACTGACTCCCAGTGATTCCAGTTCACTGGGCTGGAAGCAGATCTTGGCCCTGAAAGCTAGCAATCTAGTAATTATGATGCAGGTGATTATGTGAGTACATTTGAAGGAAAAGAATATCCTGCCATACAAATATCTAAAAACTATCTGGGAACTTTTAATGCCTAAAATATATACACGATGACCATTTCATCATATAGATATCTTTTAAAGTGATGTGAAATATTTTTTTAATTCACTTTTGGGGAGGTGAAACTAGTCAATGAAGACAGAGACTGTAGCTTAAAAATTAATCTCTCCTTCAAACATGGGATTTAGTTTTTTAACAGTCGTGAATTCCTTTGCTTTTTAATAGGGAACTTTTGTATTTGTAGCACTAGAGACATTCTTGTTACAGAGAGACCTGACTGCATGATTCATTTTTCTACAATCAAATCTCAACAGGGGTGCAGGCTGGCTCAGATAGTACAGCACATGACTCATGATCTCAGGGTCGTGAGTTTGAGCCCCACTATGGAGATGGAGATTACTTTAAAAAAAAAATCTCAACATAATCAATAATTCTGATCCATCTTCAGTGAATAATACATTTCAGTACTCAGAGGAAAATCCTTCATCATACTTTCAGGTTTGAGCAGCATGAAGCTGTCAAGTGTTCCAGATTTCTATTTTAAACAAAAACAGGCATTCTTTATTTTGTTCAGCCAACAACTGTGAGATGAGATATGTATATCTAAGGAGAAAAATAATTTTTAAGTTTCTAGTTATTCTAAAAATGAAAAGGAAGTATATGTGTTGGAATATTATTAGCACAATTGTGTATCCTTTCCTACAAAAATCTAACAAAAGAAGTACATTAGCATGTCTTCATTACTTTAAAAATTAAAACTTTTAATTTTGAGAGAGAACGTGAGTGAGGGCTGGGCAGGAGAGAATCCCAGGCAGGATCCAAGCTGTCAGTGCATAGCTCACCATGTGGCTTGATCTCACCAACCACAATCAATATCTCACCTGAGCCAAAATCAAGAGCTGGACACTTAACCAACTAAGCCACCCAAGCGTCCAGGTATTTCCTCATGTTTTATTGAAATTATTTACTACTCTAAGTATTTTCTATAGCAAAAAACATGTGAGAGTTAATAAGCTATGTAGGTTCTCCTGGTATCTCATAGGGCTATTACAAAATGAATAAATTTGAGAACACTAAAAACTTTATAATTTAAAATAAAAAGAATACTTCCATTAAATACGGGGTTCAGAATTAAGAAACAATATGATAAAATATACTCATTATTTGTGGCACTTTGCCAAGGGACTAAATAATCAACCAAACAGAAGTAGGTTTACTAGGAAGCTCATGAAATTAACTTTGTGCCTTCTTCTTTCACGAGCTATTTCTAAGGCTTCCTTTTATACATTCTATATAAATGTTATACTTTAATTTTTGCCTTTGCTACAGGAGGGTTGCCAAATATTATGATTTTTCAGGATCCAAAATTGAGTCCACCCTTGCATTGAAAGATACATTCTTAGGGTTGAAAGAACAAAGTACATTCCTCTCTGTCTCCATTCTGATAGCTCTTATTCTAGGGAACCCATTAAAATTTTCCTTCTTCAAAATGGAAAACAGTATTTTGTAAATGCATACAATCAAACCAGAATAAGAGGGAGGCAAGTTCTTTCAGAAAGGGATGAATTTCTCATTATTTTAATCGTGTGCCATCATTTCAGCCCTGCAAAGCTGAGGTTATAACAACACCAGTGAGAGTTACAAGGGAAGCGTCAGATGGGCTGAGGTCGTGTAACCAACCTGCGGTGAGACGCTCATCTCGGAGGGAATTCTGCCTTTGTGCTTCTGTAAATTCCACTGCAGGCTGCCTGAGGCGACATGTCATATGCATTTGTCAACCTGTTTCTAAAGGCTAGATTAGTAACTGTAAAAAGATATTACATGCCGTTAGGGTCTCTGTTATAACAGTATGACTTGGGAATGCTGAAGGTTTCAGCTGCATCCTGGGTAAGTCGCACCAACCCTCCATTCTAGCAAATTTCTATTATGCTCTGGCCCTGACCATGCTCCTTATTTTCAATCCTAGGAGAACATGCATATTTAAATACAGCAAAAATCTACCTTAGAAAGAGAGTTGCAGTGGAGCTAGGTGAAGTAGAGATGACCCACCTGGAAAGTAAAAACAGAAACAAAAAACTACTGCTGAAAATACAAATATGTAAAAGCTTAAGTTTAGCCTTTTAGTTTTTTTTAAACAGGAAAGCAGCCACTATAATAAACATTTCTCTAAAAGGAAGGTATACAAGAAGATGATTAGCTTTGGGATTCGAATTTTAAATTGCCTAAAACATAAAGTTGATCGGGTTCAGTAAATGTTTCCATCTCAATCCATATTATAATCTATGTGATTAGTGAAAAAGAACTGCTTGCAGCTCAAAAAGAAACAAAAGTTACCAGGTCATATGAATAATTCGCTTCTACAATTCCAAATGGTTTAAAATGTGATTTCAATCATTTAGCTATTTGCATTTTTATGCATGGCCATATACATAAAAACTTATACACTTAAATAAATGTTTAGTTAGCAGAATCTGAGTATTCCTTCTGATAGTCTGTTCTAGACTTGCCATCTGCTACCTGCTTTCCTGCCTCCTACATCCTCTTTAATAAAGGGGCTTGATTTCTACAACTGAACTTTTGAAGCACTGGGACTCACTTTGACAATGAGAAAGTCATTTACATTTTAGGAGCTTCTCTTTTCTCATCTATAAAATGAAAGACTTATGTTACTTATGAGAATATGTACTTCTGTGATTTTATGAACTATCAGTAAAAAAGAAATCTTCAACTTTAGCTAATGTAGTACAGCAACTATTTAGTATTTGTGGAAAAGATGATCTCTGTAAAAGCAATTTTAGGTCATCTACCTTGTCCTCCAATATTTCACCCCTTTGTCCCTTTTGTGTGTGTTTTGCCACTTCTGAGGGAAAGAAAGAGAAGAAAGTAGAAGAGGAAGAAGAAAGAAGGAAAAAAGTGAAGATAATGGAGAGTCAGTGGAGGTAAAAGAGGGAGAAACGACCTTGCCATTTTAGTATTATTAAATACTCTATAGTTTAAAAAAATTCAACTCAATCTGGGCATAAGACAATCATGAGAAAAAAGATCCTGAGTTGAGAAATCAAACTGAAACATAATTTTGATAGGACCTTAAAAAGCCAATGAAAAAATATACAAAATCATCTAATTGTAATGAAGGTTTTTTTGAGAAATAGTTTCTAGAACTAATTTTAATAATAGATAACCTTATTTATATATTTCTCCTCCTCTTCTTGCTGAAACTCCAGTTTGGATGAGAAAATTGGCATTCAGTCAAATTGACATGAAGTAATCCCTTTGATTTTAGATCACACACACACACACACACACACACACACACACACACAAACACACAGAAACTTGTTTATTTCTGTTTATTCTCATATGTCCTCTCTTTCTTGTATAAATACATGACTATAATTACCATAGTAATTATCAACTCAAAATATAGTTTTCTGTCTCTCCCACTAGTTGATAAATTTTGGAAAATAAGAGATTATTTTACCTAGTTGTCTCTGCTAGTAAATATAATTTGTTTTTAATGGTTCTTGAGTAAATGAATTAATAGACTAATAGCCATTTTGAAATAACAATACAAATTGCTAGCATTAAATTTAGATTATCAGGTTAGTGAGATTAATAAAAGTACATGTTTGGTAATATATTGTCTCCATTTGAAGTTATTTTACATCTCCACAAATTTGTGGGTGGAAGTAAAAGTATATTTGAAGTGCCATATTTTGTTAGAGTTATTTTTAAAATGAAACTATGTATCTTCATTCTTACTAATAATTTTTAAGGTGTTATCCCTAACTTTACAGAGAAAACTAATATCTTAAGAAAATGTATACAAATAGAACGTGGTATATTTTCCTTATAGTTTTGTAATGAATTCTTAAATGAAAAAGTGCCAAAAATATTCTTTGAGAAAAAGATTCTTTTCTCAAGAAAAAGAGACAATAGATATAATTTACAATATGTATAAAACTTTACAGTATTATAAAATCAGAATTCACACATGTAATTACCCAAAAGTTTTTCTTCTGCATTACAGAAACATTACATTATCGTGTATATGCCTCTTATTGTTTCAGTGTACTGAAGACAGCTCTTTTACATACACTACAGAGTGAGAGATGTGTAGAAAATAGCGAAGCTAACGGCGCAAATGGAAATCGAATTATTAAGAAATTTGTTCTATTACTCTCTTGCTCTTTCAAGAGGATACATGCAACGATTAGAGAAAACAAAGGCTCTTCAAGTTGTGATATAGAGTGTTATTTATGGATCCTTGATTCATCACTGACATGGAATTCCAGAGTCTAATTTTTGAAATATTAAGGGATGTTTTCCCCCAGTTAATTAAATTCATCTTATTTTCTTACTTTTATCTCCCATTCACTTATTTTCCTTTGTAAATTCTTTAAGAGAAAAATAAAAATATCTGCTTACAGTTTCCTTGAAATGAAATTACAACCTCAGATTATAAATGTGCATACTGCCTGCTAACTTTTACAAGATCTTCAATAGAAATAGGTCTGTTAGATTTCAAGGAAGATATTTGGCCGTTCATTTCCATTAAGTAAGTTAGAATCCAGAACACTAATTTTCTTTTTGAATCATTCATTCTCAAAAAGTAAACTAGTAAAAGCAATATCATTTTAGCTTTCAAATGCAAGTCAGTCTCACTCTGCTATTCTCCTACTACTTCTCTTCTGCAATAATAAAAAAAATCCTTTTAAAAGGCACCTCACTTCCAAAAGCAAACTAAAATTGCAATATTAAAGATCTGAAGACTTCTTTCAAAGACTTCACTAATAGTATGTTACTTTTCTTTTGGTGGATATTAGAGGCCTACGGAAACTCTAAACTACTTGCCATTAATTTTCTCAAAAGAAAAAATGATCACTAAACTTTTTTGTCATTTGGGTTTTAAAAAAGTGCACAAGTATTTATAGACATTTTGGTCTTTTTGATTTTTTGAAAGTGGAACAAAGCATAGAATCCAGCTCCTAGCCAGTAACTGGCCCCTCAAAGTTTAATATTGTAATTGAATAAATAAAATATCAAGTAAACATCTCACTACGCTTATCTTCACACCAAGACTCTTGGCTTTATATATTTATTTATTTGCTTATTTATTTTTAGTTTTCTATCTTTATTGAGTTATAATTGACATATGACAATGTTTAAGATTAAGATGTATAACAAGTGGATGTGATACACTTATCTCCTGCAAAATGAAATCTGCCATAGTGCCAGCTCACACCCCCATCACTTATGTAATTACTATTTCTTTCTTCTGGTGATATTTCATATATATTTTCTCAACTTTCAAGTATATATTCTTAACTTTCAATTATATAATACAGTAGTATGATGTGTAATCACCATATGTACATTATTTGTTCTTTTTAAAAGTTTTTACTTAAATTCCAGTTAGTTTACACTGTAGTATTAGGTGTTTCAGGTGTTTCAGGTGTTTCAGGTGTACACTATAATGATGTACACTATAATGATTCAACACTTCGATACAAACCCTGGTGTTCATCACAAGTACATTCCGTAAGTCCCATTATCTATTTGATCTATCCTCCACCAACCTCCATTCTGGTAACCAACAGTTTGTTGGCTTTAATATACCTTCTTTTCAGAAAATATACTCTAAATTTGGAACTCTTATAGCAAATGGTGTGATTTGGTTTCTAATGTGCCATTTCTTTTGCCTACTTCTTTCGGCCTACTCCTTCAGTTAGTAGGTGTACAAAGATCAATAAGGGGAAAGAAAAAACCCATTTATATTCTGTCTATAAAAAATAGCTATTCTTATGTCTCTAGAAGGATCTAGAGGAAAGTTTTCTAGTAATAAGTCAGGTCAATATAGTATGTATGCAATTTTTATCATTAAATTGATATTTGTGATATTTAATGATAGTGATGTTTTAAGGCAATTGTAACATACACTTTTCCTTAGTGTTCATTCAGTGGGAAATGAAGGTTTAGAAAGACACGAAGCAAGAATACTTAATTGCTTGAAATACTGAGGTACTTCAGGAAAGATGAGAGTTCCATTTATTACTATCAATGACACTATCTTTGTAGTTTGCTCCTTGTTGCTTTATGTTGATTTGCATCACATAGAAATCCCCCTCTCAGACAGAATCTGTTCTCTGCCTCACCACCTGTCAAGAAGATTTCCAATGCATTTGCCTTCTGTAAGGACCAAGGAGTCTCTTTCCTCAGAGAGGACTTGTTATTTATTAGAGTATGGTTGGTCGCTGCCTTGTCATTTGAAGCCTGGATGTTAGAAGTTATTTTTGTCCAAGAATACATTCACATAAGTTCAAGGGAAAAATATCTTTCAGAGGAAGAAACATCTAACCCTTCACAAAGATTTAGATACATTATCTAAGACTATTCTTCCCTCTCGTTCAATGATCCTCAAGACATATTACTTTCCAACCTCTATTCCTGGGGTTGCACTCAATAAGTCCATGAGGTCTTTTTTTTCCCTATTTGTTTTGTGAGGCATGGCATAGGTCTTTTCAAAAAAAAAAAGTCCTCTATTGGAATATTTCCTCTTTCCAATTTCTTTTGCTAGATATATTCCTTCTATTCTCTCATTGTGAAAATAGTGTGGTAAATACTGAATTCCGTAAATTGACCCTGTCTTTCCATTTATCTCTTAGTTTGTGAAAATTTTATTTTACTTTATCTTCTAAAATTTCATTTCACCAAATTTAACTATATTATTTTAAATTTCCATGAGCTTATCATATTCTAGTTGTTCCTTGTTAAAAATAATATTTATACTTCCATGGCTACAGGATCTTTTTTATCTCTATGAGAACATTATAGTTTTTGAGTTTTTATTGAATTTGATCTCCTTTCTTAATGTGTGTTTGCATTAAATCCTTATTCAAATGACTAGAGATTCTTGGGGACCTATTCTTTTCCAATGAATAAGATTTATTTTCAGAGCAATTTTAGATTAACAGCAAAACTGAACAGAAAGTAGAGAGTTTATTGTCCTCACACATGCACAGCAACCCCAGTATCAACATACAGCGCCA